CCTCCCGCCGCCCTCCCGGCCTCACCTCCTCCACCCGGGCGTCCATCTCCCGCCCGCCCGCCGCCCTCCCGGCCTCACCTCCTCCACCCGGGCGTTCAGCGCCGCCCGTTTCGTCTCCAGCTCCTCCAGGTCGCTGAGCAGCTGCAGGAGCAGCGAGTCCAGCTCGGCCCGCAGGTCCCGGCCGCCCATGGCCGGCCACAGTCGCGTCCCTGCGGCGCCGAGCGCGGGGCCACAGCTCCGGCCTCGCAAGGAGCTAACCACCGCCGGCCGGCCCGCAGGACTACCGGCTCTTCCGCTGCGGCTGCCCCGAAGCGCGTCCCCACGCACGCTCCGGGCGGAAGCACCCGCCCACGGGAGGCGGAGAATGGCTGGCGCCCGCGAGGGCCGAAGGAACCAGTCAGCGGACTGTCTGGGAGGCCGCTGCAGAGGATGGCTCCCACCGCTTCCAGAAGGTTCGGATTTCTTAAGTTAGTATATGGAACAGTACGAGGCGGGATGGCAACTTTTTTAAGGGAGCAGGGGCTTGAGGGCATCCTCAATCAAAGTAACCGGTGGTGAAGCCGCAGGCAGACATCTTTACTACTGGCGACAAGAGAGCCACGTGACAACATGCTACAGTTTATTGGGTTTTTTCCAGGGACCCGGCCCTTAAGAATTGCGTCAAAATTTACGACTGCTTCCGGTGTCCGCCATCTTAACATAGGGCATTCTCTACAGCCGTAGGGCCTAGTGAAGCCTCTAGGTTGAGGGCGGAAGTGAGGACTACCAAACGCGGCGGCACCCGGCGCTCGAGCCGCACGTGGAAGTGGCCCTCAAGATGGTAAGGAGATGGTCGAGCCTGGGTCTCGGGAGGGCCGGGACTGTGCTCCTCGAGGGTGGTTGGCACTGATCGGGCTGGCTGTTCTGTGCTTTCCAGCTGCGCCGCGAAGCCCGCCTGCGCCGGGAGTACCTGTACCGAAAGGCGCGCGAGGAGGCGCAGCGCAGCGCGCAGGAGCGGAAGGAGAAGGTGCGGCGCGCGCTCGCAGGTAGGCGACGCGGCCGCGGCGGCCTCCTTGCGTCCTGCGTGGCTTCTGCTGCCCGTCAGCCTGCCTTTCACGTGTTGGGACTAGTCACTTGTCGTTTATGTCGCAGTTCCAATTTTTGCAGTTGGACTGCCCTTTCCTGTGCCCAAAAGTTTTAAGGTTGACAGCCGTAAGGGGCTAACACAGAGGAAGAAAGGAAGCCTCTGTAAAACCCAAAGGCGGTGTAGCCCGCACTGCCAAATGAGACTTGGAAAGTGAGGACTGGTTTGGTTTGGTTTGGTTTGCCTTTAGGGAAAAGTGGCTTTTCTGAGGGCACAAACAGCTTTTCCTCAGCGCCCCTCAGCCCGGGTGACTGAACCTGAGCGTGTGGACGCCGACGGGAGTAAATCTGGAGCCCCCGTTTCCTTTCCACAAAAGTGACTGATGTGGAGAGTTGCTTGCGCTGCCTCCCCCTGTTCCTTACTGTAAAAGACCTTGCCCCCCGTGGATGACGGGGCCGTGATTTAAGACAGATGGGCCCTTCCATCTCCTGGGAGTTGGCATTAAGAAAATCCTTTTCCATTTTACCCAAACATACGGCCTTCTTTGATTTGGCCAAAAGCGAGCAACAAACCTGAGTGTCCGGGTCTAAGTGGCTGGTAACGAAAAGACTGTGAAACTCCTTTTTGGTTCGTCTCTGGAGTCACAACTGAAAAAGTTGTACTGCTTAACCGAACTGAGGGCTTCCTGCTTGATTTTCACTCATCCCTTCCGTCTTTTCCCTGCAGAAAACCACCTCATTCCCACTGAACTACGCCGGGAGGCTCTGGCCTTACAGAGGTCCCTGGAGTTTGATGACGCCGGTGGTGAAGGTGCTGTGCAGCGTAATTCCCAACACTGAGTGATTCCTCTGTGAATAGCATCTATCCCCTCCCAAACCCAGGGTGCTTTCCCATCTGAGAAAATTACCCACGGCATCTGCTCCTGACCTGTCCTCTGGGAGCCTTTATGCCTGATAGGGATGCCACAGGGGCTCTCCCTCAGTATTTCCTGTTCATTCTTTCAACGCAATAATACTCCGTTTACTCTGTACTTTATTAGTTGCATCTCCTGGGGAACACCTACCAGAGCAGGACAGTATCCCTAACCCAGCATATATTTGGTGCCCAGATATCTCATTCTTTGCATAATAAGGATCATAAAACATACGTATCTGTTATGAGGGAAAGAAACAGGTGTTGGCAGAGCCTTCCAAACACTGGGATTCCATTCATCAGGTCCCCTTATACCTAGTGGGCTGGTGACTGCCTTCTTGACCAGTGTGGGTGTGGTGTGTTCCTGTCATTGAATAGTTCATCAAACAGACTTGCTGTTTCCCAGTTAGTATTTCACACCCAAGCCAATGTCACATTCTTACCCCTTGTGCCCCTGACAGGTGTGACTAGCCACGCTGATGATGAGTATCGATGGGCAGGGGTCGAGGATCCCAAGGTCATGATCACTACCTCCCGAGATCCCAGTTCCCGCCTGAAGATGTTCGCAAAGGTACGAGTTGGCGGGCAGTGAGAGGAGATGCCTACCATCAGAGGCCCCGTGCCTAATGGGAACACTGGTCCATGTACAGGAAATGAAGCTGCTATTCCCTGGTGCGCAGCGCATGAACCGAGGCCGACACGAGGTGGGGGCGCTGGTGAGAGCCTGCAAAGCCAATGGGGTGACCGACCTCTTAGTTGTCCATGAGCATCGCGGCACACCTGGTAAGGATGGTGGGATGGCGAAAGGCTGGGAGAGGCCCAAGAGCAGACAGGGCCTCTGACAGCCTGCCTGGCCTCCACAGTGGGGCTCATTGTCAGCCACCTGCCATTTGGCCCCACTGCTTACTTCACGCTGTGTAATGTCGTCATGCGGCATGACATCCCCGACCTGGGAACCATGTCCGAGGCTAAGCCCCACCTCATCTTCCATGGCTTCTCCTCTCGCCTAGGCAAACGTGTGAGTCTGGAGTTCCTGGGGAGAGGGCTAGGAGCCAGGCCAGGCATTTAACACTTCTTCCCCTGTGCTTCAGGTGTCTGACATTCTCCGTTACCTGTTCCCAGTGCCCAAAGATGATAGCCACCGGGTTATCACTTTTGCAAATCAGGACGACTATATCTCATTCCGGTGGGTTCATGGGTTGAGCCTGTGCTCATGGTTGTGACCTTCATGTCCTTAATGTTGCCGTGGCTGATCCTTAGCTTCTTCTAGCTCATAGCCCTCTCCTGGCTTCTTCTCAGGCATCATGTCTACAAGAAGGTAGACCACCGCAACATAGAGCTGACAGAGGTCGGGCCTCGCTTTGAGCTGAAGTGTGAGTCTGAGGGTTTTTCCTACACTTGGGAGAGTCAGCGTGGAGGCTTCTGTGCATGTAATAATGTCTCTCCCTCCCTTTGCCTCTCTCCCTCTGCCTCCCTCCCCTCTCTCTCCCTTCCCGACTCCCTCCCTCTCTTTCTCCCTCTCCCTCCCCCCTCTGTGCTCCCCCTCCCCCCCACCACAGTGTACATGATTCGCCTAGGCACACTGGAGCAGGAGGCTACCGCAGACGTGGAGTGGCGCTGGCACCCCTATACAAACACTTCACGCAAAAGAGTGTTCTTGAGTGCTGAGTGAGCCTGCTGGCCATTCAGTGTGGACCTGGAAATGAAAGGAGAGACTTGTCACAGCCAGGCTTGCTGAGCCAGCTGTGGGATGGTGAAAGGCTCATGGGGTCGAAATAAACCCTCTGTGTCACTGCCTGCGTGCCTCTGACTGGTCAGGATGGGGCTGCTGTCAGTCTAAGCCTGAGAAACAAAGCCCTTAGAGTCCTCTTGGGTGGGGCATCTGATGGCTTTGGGGTCCACCAGGCCTGGAATCACTATAGGAGTCACTACAGTCTTCTTGGAAGATCTGGTGCAGATGCAGCCGCAGGAGTCAGGCCTCGTGAGCACTCACTGGGGTGCTGTGGGTGGTGGGGTGAGGCTGTGTTACTGGCAGCCAGAGTGGCCAGGCCAGACTCGGTGCTCCCCGAGGCCCCACCCCTACGCAAGTGCTAAGCCTTCCCTCCCTTCACTAGAGGTGAGAGCCCCCAAGGGCCCTCAGTGGAGGGCTTACCTGAGGCCACGTGAGGGGCACTGCTCCCCAGGGAGGCGAGACCCCCGTCATCCTGTCCCTGCGCACACATTGCCTGTGTGTACCACAGGGCCCTGGTTTTACACAGGGGTGTCAAGACCCTGGAATGCATTTGAGTTTATAGAACGGGGAGTGGTAACAGGAAGTTCTGTGAGGACACATGTTCACATGGACAGGATAAAGGACTGGGGCACCTCTGCGTTACTGTCCTGAAAGCTGAGTGAGAGGTGGGAAGGAGCTGGGTGCCATCTGTGATCCTTAAACCCTTATTTTGAGGACAGCCAGGGACCCATTAGTGGGCAGGGTGGGATGTAGCTTTGCTCTGACCTTGAGCTGCACTAGCAAGAATCTAGTTCATTTTGCACAGTCTGCATCTGAGCCGTGCTGTTGGGCGTTAGGCAAATTATGGAAATTCCAGAAACAAGAATAAGATAGCATAATGTTCTGTGTTCACTTCCTGAGGTAACTGTAGTGAATTACTGCAGATAGATGGCATAAACAAATTTACTCTCAGCTCTGGAGGCCTTGGTCCCAAGAGCTCAAGATACCACCTCCCTCTAAGGCCTGAGGGTGGTGTGGTGGGGGAGAGCGGTAAGGGCCCAGTGCTTGCTTTGCTTCTTGTCAACCTCCAGTGGTTGCCATCATCGATTTCTGATGCTCTTGACTGACGGGGCCATTCCAAGGCAGTCTCTAGCTGTATCTTCAGAAGCCCAGCAGGCTTTAAATCCATGACTCCTCTTTGTACTGTACTAAGTGCTGGGATTCCAGGTGGGTTCATCCCACCTGCCTACCCACCCCCAGGGCCTCTGCGCTAAGCTACATCGCCAGTGCTTGCCTTGAGCCTGGATCTCATTTGCTAAATTTCTCAAGCTAGGCCTCAGTGACCCTCCTGCCTTAGGTTCCTAGAGGATCACAGACATGCGCTACTGTTTTAGTCACTTTGTCACTCAGGCAAGATGTCCCACTTCCACAAACTAAAGCAGAGGTGTTTATGGCCTCATAATTTATAGAGGTTTCTGTCCATGGTCCACTCTCTCCAAGGCAGTGCGTCCTGGCAGCATGGCAAAAGGGCAGCGGCTCCCATCATTTAAGCCAGAAAATGGAAGTTGAGAAGCAGATACAGGAAATAGGCTTTCCACATCCTGCCTCCAGGGCACAGCCTCTTCCAACTAGATCCATCTCTTAATAGCAAGCCAGCTATGACGCCCATAATTTTTTTTTTAATGTATTTAGTACAGGGTCTCACTACACTTTCTGGACTCAGTGATCCTCCTGTTTTTCAGCCTCCCAAGTGCTGGGGTTACAGGTGCGCACCACCACCCCTAGTCTCAGGCTGGCACTGCATGCTGGGGGTCAAACCCCCCCAGTCTACATCTGCCTAAGCAGGTGCTTTAACCTACTGAGCTATTTGGCCGGCCCATAAGTGACATAGCACAGCATCTTTGGGCTATTTATTGCAGTACCAGGGATTGAACTCAGGACCTTTTGCTTGCCAGACAAGTTCTTATTTTACTGAGCTATCTCCCCATCCCTCTTTTTGTATTTTTTATTTTTATCATTTATTCTGTACAGGGTCTTGCTACTTGTCTCTGCCTCCTCAGTGCTTGGATTATAGGTTTCAGGGGCCAGCTTGGTGCAGGGCCAGCACAGCATGCAGCATTGGGGATTGAACCTGGGCCCTTGCGCTTGCCAGGCCGGCACTTACAATGCTGAGCTATCTCCCCAGCCCTGAATACCTATAATTTTTTTTTTTTTTTTTTTTTTTTTTTTTTTTTTTTTTTTTTTTTTTTTTTTTTTTTTTTTTTTTTTTTTTTTTTTTGCGGCTTCAGTATGCCTTCAGGTCAGATCTGGTTTGGCTTGAGGATCTGGGAATGGAACCACAGCACCCTGAGCCTGACTGCTTTGTTTAAGCAGGCACTTAAAACAACTGAGCTAATGATCAGGCCCCTCACGCCTATCATCTAACCACCTTCCAAAGCCCTGAGTCCATGAGGCTCTTGGGAAACATCTAGATACGAACCATAACACCCGCCTGCCCAGCCCTTTTTTTTAATGCTTTGCTTTGGGGGGCCGAGGGAGGTGAGACAGGATCTGGCTACATATTCCAGGGAGGCCTCAGATTAATGATTCTTCTGCCTCAGCCTCAGGTGCTAGGATAAAAGGTGTGTACCACCATACCTGGCTTATTTTTTGTTGTTACTGTTGTTTTATCTTTTTGTTTTTTCCTGTCTTTTTGAGACAGGAGCTCTGCAGTTCAGGCTGGCCTTGAACTCACTTTGTAGCCCAGGCTGGTCTTGAATTCACAGTGATCCTCCTCAGCCTCCTGAGTACTGGGATTACAGTAATCCCAGGGTTGTTTTGTTTTCGTTTTCTTTTTAAAGACAAGGTGTCACTATATAACCCAGGCTGACCTCAACTGAATTCATTCTGTTTCAGTGCAGGGGTGTTAGGATGGTAGGCATGTGCCCCAGGCTCGCTTCTTGCTCTTCAACCATCTCTCTTCCGTGGGTCAGTTGGAAGAACTCTTGTAAGGTTTAGGGCCCCTAGGTGGGCTGGAGCATCTGTTCTTTATTTCATGGTAAAGGACTAAATTTTATCCGCAAAGACCTTCTCTTCGGGACTGACATTCACAAGTCTCAGAAATTCGAACATGTACATATGATTTAGAGTTGGCCGCCACTTCACCGCTGCATGTGCCCAGAACACTTGCAAGGGCTGTGGGCTTCCTGCCTTTCCCTTGTCCATGTCCCACACAGCATCCTAGGCCTGGCCAGTGATAGCTCTGCCATCTCCCCACTGATTCCATTTGCCCAGTGTAGGGCAGGGCCTTAGTGTTGATGTGTTTCTAGTTTGGTTTGATTTTTAAGAGATGGGGTCGTAATTTGTTGCCCAGGCTGGTCTCAAACTTGAGGGCTCAAATGAGACTCCTGGGCCAGTGAGATAGCTGAGCCAACTAAAGCACCTGCTTAGGCAAAGTGCAGGGACCATGGTTTGATCCCCCCACACACACCACATGCCGTGCCAGCCCAGGGTGGGCAGAGCTGGCCATAAAAGAAATTAAGTAAATTTATTTTTAAAAAATGATACTCCTGGCCAACCAAATAGCTCAGCAGATTAAAGCTCCTGCAAGCAGGCGCAGGGGCCAGGGCTTCAATCTCCATGCCTGCTGTGCTTTCCCCGAGGTGGTGCACACCTGTAATCCCAGCTCTTTTGGGAGGCTGTAAACAGGCAGTTCCCTAATTTTTTAAAATCACAACGTATGCATATGTACAACAAATACAATTTTTAGTTGTCTTGTGGAACTTACAACTAATAAAATGTACTGAGTTACTGTAAAAAACAAAACAGCAGTTCACTATGAGTGCAATCTAGTAGTGAGACTCTGAACACCATGTAGATCCTTCCCTAAAATACAAAAAATAAATAAACATGATATTCCTGTCTTAGCCTCCTGATACCTGGGACTCCCAGTGCTTGCCACCACCCTGGGTAGTGCTTCTAATCATCTGAGTACCAAAAACTCATTTAGGCCAGAGCTTGGCACCGAGAGACCAGCTCTTAGCCAAGGACAACATAATCAAGATGGGTACAGGTACCATTTATTGTGCCCTTTACCATGACCTTCACTGCATTAAGAGAAGACCTAATATCTTTCTTACAGACTCCTCTAGCTGAACTCTCTTCAGCAGCAGCAGAAGACTACACAGGACAACTAGCACCACTGCTGGTTGTGTGTGCTGAGCCACTGGGGTGGAGACATCTGTTACTGGCGAGGCTCAGATGTGGCCCTTGGAGCACACTGAGGAGACCCTGTGGGCTTCGTGGGGAAGCTTGGGTAGGACTTCGTAGCCCTTAAAGTGAGGAGCTGGGGCTGCAGCTCAGTGGCAGTTTACTTACCTACTGCACAAGGGCAAGGGTCCAGCCAGCACCAGCCAATAAAATGGGACCATCTTGCCGTCACCATCTTACGGTCAGAAACAGTTGCTGAGTGAAGCCGTTGCACACAGCTTGGAAAGACTCTAAGCTTGATGTTTGTGCTGGAAAGTTTTTAAAATGAGGCCAGGAAGAAATGGCTGTTACCGTGGAGGGGGCGCGGGGTGCACAGCTTACTGCAGTACTCCGTGCAGGGAGGCCACGTTCTCCACGCCCCGGAGGCTGGCAAGGAGCTGCGTCCGTGGGTGGTGCCACCTGAGGTGAGGTGTCGCGCTTTGCTCTCTTCTTCCTGCTAAGGTGTGAAGAACAGGAGCAGACCATGCTGAGGACGAGCCTGGCCAAAGCGCTCTTGTGCATGGCACTTGGCTGGTTCTCAAGGGCCAGGTCCTCCTCTAGACCAGGAATACTGTCGGGGCAGTCCAGGTGAGGGGGTGGGGAGGGCTGTACCCGATGTTCACAACTACTTTGATATAAATCTTTATTTCAATTTATGCAAGGTTCTACAATTCACTACAAAGCCCTGTTAATCTTGTAACATTAGGTCTCTTTTTTTTTTTTTTTTTTTCAATACCAGGGATCAAACTCAGGACGTTGCATTTGCCAGGCAGGCACTTAAGCCACTGAGCTATCTCCACAGCCCACTTTTTCTTTCTTTCTTTCTTTCTTTCTTTCTTTCTTTCTTTTTTTGGGTGCT